TTTTGTCCTGGCCTTTCGCTGGATAACAATAGGAGAGGTGGACTGTGTACCGCCCGACGGCTCCACAGGAAGAGAAGGGACGGAAGGCACCAAAGACTGAGTAACTATCGCAGCGTCGGGAACCGTAGGCGGAGGCACAAGTGAAGGAGTCTCGGGCTGATCCTAGACAGAGGCATCTGCAACAGGAGTAGCGGACAACGGCACACTTTCCCCAGCCACATGAGACGTTGACACAACTGATTTCTCTTAATTCGGATCGAAAGGAGGAGAAGTCTCGAACGGTTCAATTGCTGCCGCTCCAGCCACCGAAGACTGACTGTTCAAGTCAGTCAAGGCTTCAGTGCCACTTATCTCGCCTTCCGAATACTCGTAGGGAGGGACGTCATCACCTGACGCTTCCAAAGAGTCTGAAGAATCGAACAAAGCTGATCGCTTGAGTCGACGGAGCTTGTTGGTTTTCGAAACTGGAACTTCATCTTGGCAATCCTTCACGTCGACGTCCTCCTCGAGAACATCAGCATCAGCCAACAAGGATGCTTTGAAGGAAGTTCGAGCGGCTTGAGCCCGTCGAGGTCGGTTGGCAGCAATGATGTTGCTAGGGCCAACAGGACGCTTACGTGCTCTCGAAGAATGCGACTTGGGAATCAGATCAGCACGAGGTGATGACGAATCTTCATCACCACTTATCAAATCCAATACAGCAGGCACGAGATCTAAATCAACGGTAGGGCCATCAACAGGTGCTAACGGAGCTGGAAAACTTGGTGATTACTTGGAGAGCGACTTGGAACGGGGTCGCGACGTTGTCTTCTTAGAAGAAGCCTTCTCAGACATTGAATTGGAGCGGGGAATGGACCGAGAACGAGATGTGAGGGCCGTAGTTTGGGCCTTGGCAGAAGGTTGGACAAAACGGCCAGCCACCGAGCCTCGCGGAAGAGTGAGAGGAGGAACTTGATTCCCCGAAGACTCACGACGAGGTTGTTTGGGGGTCTGTGAAGCGTTAGCACCAGGAGTGGTAGCTTTCCGCTTGGGAACATGTACTGATGACTTGGGCGAAGCTCACTTCTGCTGGAAATAATCAGCAACTTCTTGTGCTGAAGTTCCAGGCGACGTGCGTCGCTTATCGGTGGAAATTCTCTTGGGATCTACAGGACCCGCAGATTCACCACGTTTAGCGTCAAAGTCAGCCTGAGCAAGCAACTCGGCGGGAGAATCGCGCGAATTGGCTGGATCGGCGTTGAGATACTCACCGCGAAGCCCACTTTGGTGTTTTCACACACTTCAAGCATGCTCCAGTCAATTTGGCCAGTGGAATAACCTGATACAAACCAAATGCGCTAAGTAAAGCATGAACAAGGATGCGCTGCAAGAAAACAAGAATGAACCTTCGGTAATGAGAACGACAAAATCAGGATCGAGCTGGTCCAGCTTCACGCGTGATCGTAGAGTGCGGTTCGCAGTCATGAGCCGGCGGTTACGCTCCAAAAGTTCAGAACACCGACGACTGCCCTTGCCTTCAGCAGAATCATCGACAATACGAGAGATCGCCAGCGTGGCACTCAAATTAGCCACTTGGGTGGTGTTCGCCGCGATCTTGGCCATGAACTCGCTCTTGGCATGCTTCAATTGACGATTCAAGTCGACAACGGTGTCTTCGGCAGCACGGACTCGATTTTCACTCCGAGCCAAAACCTCGGTGTGGTCGCTAGTGCTAGCCTCAAACTTGTCGGAAACAGCCTTGTAGTGAGCTGTCAGGACCTGAGCGTTCTCCACATTCTTCCAAAGAGTCGCGATCTCCTGATGGCAGGAACGAAGAAGGCCTTCAGAATTTTGCGAAGAGCAATCTCAGTGAGCAGGCGCCCCTCAGCAGCCTTTTGGGCAGATTGTGTCGCGTGGACGTAGCCTCGAAGAGTACCCTCGAGCTCAGTTGGCGCGGGTTGCTGAGCGGAGCTCGGATATATGGCAGCAGAGTAAATGGCCTCGACTGAATCAGCAGCGTCGACAAGCTCTTGGGCCCAGCGGTTGCCGCTGGTGGTGGAGTCCGACAGCGAGTCTTCCTAGGGCCTCCATCTGGGACGAGAGACCCGACAAGTTACGAAGTAACGACTTGTCAACCACACCTTCCACCAAATCGCACAGCGCTTCTCTGGTCAGCGTCTGCCGAGGAGTAGACGGAGCGACTAGAGGTGCTAGAGAAGGAGTCGTCGTTGGAGTTAAGACTGAAGGTGGAATCCCCTTCCGAAATATGGCCACAGTAGCCGCAATCTCCTCTGGCGTAGGGGCAACACCTCGGATGGTGTTACCCTCAGGTGTGATGGAGGTCTGGAACAAAACGATGATCAGACAAAGCGATATTTCAGACACGGAAGATTGAAGCAATTGTACGTACTGGCAGGTTAGCCTCCGGCGATGACTGAGCGTGATCAGTAGAAGGAGCTCCACAGAAGGAGCTGAGGTCATCAGGGTCGTGGTTGTTGAAGCCTGTGACGACGAAGCAGAAGTGGGAGTCGACGTGGTTTCCGATGACTGCGAAATATAAGAACCAGTCAACATCACGGCATGAAGCCAGGAGGTCTGATTGTTTAGCTGTTTCGAGACGGATACTGAAGGCGCTGAAGAATATTCCCCGAGCGGAGTGGCCAGCTTGGGCACCGCAGGGACGTTAACTGGAGCAGGAGCCTAAAGCAGTCCAGATGATGTTAAGACGAAAACGAAGAAAGAATAAGAGCAATCGCGTGAGATATACCTTACTCGCACTGAACCCCGGCACGCACGTATAGAACCGTACAAGGCCAGTGCCCTTCCGCTGTTGGGACTACGTGGTATATTGAGTGTACGTGGGCATCATAGTCTTGCCCGTGACTAGGATTGCCGAGGTTTTAGGTTGACCTGCTGGAACCACAGTACACAGAAACACAGACCAACCCGGTGCAAGGGATCGTACTAAGGCCTTCAGGTTCTTGTGTTGACCCCAAATAAACTTACTAAGTCTTCGTGACGAAGTGGGGTTGTTCGAGGGAGGTGTACCTATATTTTGGACGTATTCCGATACGACAGCTGGGCAAAGTGAAGTCCGCGTTCATCCGCGATCAAGCTCAAGACAGCGAAAAATGTCTGGTACTGGGTGATCTCCTCACGGGACCAGCGCGCAACTGGTACCGGCAGTTGAGTCGATCAACCAGGAGCAACCGGAAGAGCTTGTTTGAAGCATTCCAGACATAATACTGCGGATGAGGAGTATCTGTCGCGCGGCAGTACTACCACGCGAAGAAACGGTCGGACGAGTCGCTTTTGGAATATCTTCACAAATTCAACGTGGCGGGCTTGCGAGCTAAGCGGCAGGTCAAGGATGAACCTCTAGCCACATGTCGCGTGGACGTCGAACATTTCATCGAGACGTTGGATGATCGAGATCTGGCGGATCAGCTGACTCTGCTGCGATTAACCGACGCTGAAGATCTGGAGGAGACACGACGGGCGCGACAACGCGCGAAAGCCCACCAAGACAAAAATCATGCGGGAACAAAGAAGTTCCGGCAGAAGGCTGCACCCGAACCTCCGTCAGCGTTCTCGAAGAATAAGCGAGCAGTACGAGCGATCCGTGTAGCAGTAGACCGCAGTGAGTCGGAATCGGATGTGAGTACGTCGGATCAAGAAGACGAATGCTGCCGCGTGTTCCTGGTGGAAGCTAAAGGCCGGGAGAATCACTCGATCACGCCGACGCACAGAGACGGCACAGCCGACCATCCCACAATGTCCCAGAAGGACTGTACCCACTGCGGATCAACGAAGCACGACAACCTGGTTTGCTGGAATCGGCTGACGTGCCAAAAGTACGGCAGGAAGGAGCATCCATCTGATCATTGGCTTTTCGTCCGCCGCGCATGCGGAGAGATGCATGAACCCGGAAAGTGTCCGATGGAGAAGTTCTACAACTTGATTCGTCAATGATATGTCCCGAACAAGCATACGGGAATGTTGCCAGCTAATGCCGAAAAGATGCTAAATTAGAACGCTCACCAGGTTGGAATCTGGTACGAGCCGAGCGTTCTGAGATCTGCATTTATGCACACGTCAAGAAGCGGAAGACACGGAAGGTTAGTAAGCTGACCGACAATACATGTGAATTGCAACTAGAAGCGTACCTTTACAGTCGCAAGTTTGCGAGAGAATGACTATTCTCGATCGGATGTGGTCATGGACTGGACCTACTGCCAGGAGATTCGCGAGGGTACTGGAAGTATCACGCTCCAGGTAAATGGTTCAAGCAAGCCAAGTCAACCGCCAAGATCAACAACGAAAAGGTCACGCTCCTTTTCGACTCTGGAGCTGAAGTCTCCATTGTGGATTCTACATTTGCTCGTAAGGTCGGATGCGCTATAGACGACAGACAAAACCAAGAGTGTATTGGCATTGGAGAAACGCGTATACGACAGAGGGCGTACCCGGATCAAGATCACGCTCGCGGGAGCATACGTGTACTACTTCGACGCTTGGGCCGGAGAACTGTCAGGCCAAGAGGCGATATTGGGGATGGATTTCATGGTACCGGCAGGAATCCGGCTCGACATGGCCGACGGGTCGCTGTGCCTCCCGGATGAAGTAAGAATCCAGCTGTCCGGACGTCGTCAGCTCTTTAGCGGGAGCTCAAGGTTGATCACCTTCGACCTACACTACAAGATTCCAGTTGCAGGATCGGTAGAGATCGCCATCCGCATCCGCGTCTGACAAACAGAAATTGTGGGTCACCCGTGGAGAACAGTGGGTACCGACTGCCGTCAAAGGGCTAGGCAGTACGCAGTACCTGCGTATAACAAATGTGTCCGAGCGATTAGTGATGCTACAACGCGATACCCGAGTTGGTATCTGTCTGGCAGGAGACCGGGTATCGCGGATGCCAGGGTTCGTCTGGATCGGGCCCCGGTGATACACTGAGTGGCAAAACTTGGCGTTGCAAGCCACCACTGAACAGCAATCTGGTCGGAAATGCGACAGAGACAATGGTAGACAAGCCTCAATACGAGCCGCCGACCAAGATCCTATCAGGTAGGCAAGAACGCCGTAAGGTGATGATCGTCCTGTCGGCGCCTGCAAAAAAGTCGAACACTGCACAAGATATCGCGGGCGAAGAATCAGCAGAGTCTCAACCGAAGGTAGAGCCAAAAGAAGAAGCTGATGACGACATGGATGACGCTGTCTGCTATCATGAAGGCGGCGATATCTTACCCGAGGTCATCGAGAATAACATGGCTGTCCTGCCGGAAAGAGAAGCTACCACGAAGGAAGTCACCATGCATGATATCCGAGTAGATGATTCACACGCGACTACGGAAGAATGTGAGCAACTGCGTCGCATTATCTGGAAGCGACGCCACTTGTTGATAGAAGCCGGTAACGCTCTACCACCGGCCGCCGTCGGAGCTATTTGTGACATCGATGTTGGAACTGCCAAGCCGGTGGAGCAACGCTGTCGATGGGTAGCGCCACAATTCCGCGAGAAGCTGTCAATGCTCATCATAGGACTGCTGTCGGCAAAGATCATCACTACCTCCACCTCACCTTGGGCGTCACTCATCGTTGTCATCATCAAGACTAACGGGGTCGACATTCGCCTCTGCATCGACTACCAGGTGATGAACAGCCTTACGAGGCCGATGGTATACCCCATGCCGTTGATCGACGACCTCCTTTGAAGATTTGGATAAGGCGCTATGATACTGTTCCCTCGATATGACCTGTGGCTTCTGGGTGGTATCAATGACCCCGTGAGCAAGGTTGGTGTCAGCATCCACCACACCATTTGGGATGTTCGAGTAGACGAGGATGCCGTTCGGGTTAAAGAACGCTCCTCAGATCTATCAACGGATCGTCAACAATGCAATATACGGCCACATGCGCATCAAGCCCGATCAGGATAGATCGAATCCCGTTGACGTCTTCGAGGAAGGAGAGCCAGAATCGGACCCTAAGCCGTCGGTCCTCTGGCGGAGGTCGTATGTGGACGGCATCCTTGTGACCGGAGACACGTGGGATAGCATGTGTAACCGTGTCGACAAACTGCTCGACGTCTGTGATCGGTGGAACTTGTCGATCAGCGTAGCCAAGAGTTACTGGGGTCGACGCAAGGTAGCATATCTAGGACACTAAGTGTCTGGAAGCGAAACCGAAGGAACTCGACGCAATAACCAATCTTCCGTTCCCCACTAAGCTGAAGGCAATGCAGTCATTCCTCGGAAGCTTGAATTATTACGGCCGCTTCATTGAAGACTTCGCAGTCTATGCCGCGATTTGTACGAGCTGCGAGAAACAGACTTTCATGAAATCGCCAGGATGGACGCAGAAGAAACGTGGGAGACGCGGGCTGATGATGGCCAAATAACTGGGGCGAGCGCGATAAGTGGGCGAGGGCGAGGAACGCATTTACTATATTGAAGGCGAAAATTATCGCCACGCCTGGCCTGAAGCACTTCGACCCGGAACGCACCCCCGTCATTGTGCTTTAAGCGAACAAGTGGGCCATATCAGCGGTATTGAAGCAGAAACACGAAGGTGTGTACCATCCGGTGACCTTCACCAGTCGCACGCTGAAGGCAAACGAACTCAACTATGGAGTGGTGGATAAAGTGGTATTGGACTTTCTGCGGATCTTGGATCTCTGTTACTCACAGCTGGTAACCAGATCGATCAAGGTCCTGTCACAATTCTCAACCTTGGCCTGGCTGCTCAAGTGGAACGGGTTTGACGGTCGACTTGGTAGGTGGGCAGCACTAGTATCAGGATGGACGTTGGAAGTCACAAAATGTGTGAAAGGCGACGACGAAACCGTTGGAACAATCGCAGTTAGCATCACTCTCAGAGACGATGTGGACGAAGCACTAGTCGGGATAGCACCCAACAAACAGCCACGCAAAATGATCACCATGCCTCCACCGATGATCGGACAGGACGAGAATCTCTTGGTGGCGAGGTTTGATGGATCTGCGCGAGTAAAGCGCAGCAGCGGCGCATATAGCGCAGTCGTGTGGAAACTCCCGGAGTGGATGGTGGTAGAAGCCATGTCGTAGTACATGCCTGACTTGACAGTGAACGAGGCGGAATACCGTGGACTGATACTTTGTTTCGATGTGCTCTCGACCTTGTGCGTCGAAATTTGTGGCGACTCGAACTTTGTGATTCGTCATATGCAGGGTGAGATGGATTGCGAAGCATCAGGCTTGCAACTACTCCGACAGAAGGCGCTAAACCGACTACGATCGTGGCCAAAATACGAGTTCCTCCACGTGAAGCGTGAATGGAATCAGAGTGCTGAGAAGTTGGCAAGTGCGGCGCTGCAACGGGAAGAAGGCGAAATAATCACCTCAGAAGACGGCCGTCAAGATTTTATCACCCTCAACCGACTGGGCGAAATGCTAAACCCAAAGTTGATCGACGCAGTCATCAGCATAAACGCAATCGCTCGAGCCGCTGAGAGACAACGCCACGCACCGAAAGCGATGGAAGCATCTATCATACAGCGCATACGGTGACAGATAATTAGGCAGGCTCAGGATGAAGAGAAATAGATTGCAGATCTGAAGAAGTACCTGGACGGGGAAGTGAGTGCCTTAACAGCAGAAGAGGTGAAGACATGTTCGAAGATCGTAGACGAGAATGTGATACTCTTCTTTTGGCCCAAGACGCCGCAACGAGGCAAAGATCGCGATGGCGTCGTCAGGAGGGTAGTATCCGATAGCTTGCAGCAAGATTTCCTTCATCATTATCATGTCAGTCTAGAAGGAGGCCATCAAGGCGTCGGAAGGACGTACCGGAGGATCCAAGCGAACTTTCACTGGCGTGGGCTGTATCGAAGTGTACAACGTTACGTGGGGGAATGAACCGATTGCGAAACCGGGAAAGGAAAGTCAACGGGTCAGTGGGAATCACCAGGAAATATCCAGGGTACATATCCTTTTCAGGTGATCTCCATGGACCACATTTCGTCGTTGCCGAAGTCATTTAAGGGGAACACCGAACTGCTGATTTGGGCCGATTTGTTCGCGGGTTATGTAATTGCCAAGGCTGGACCGTCGGGAGAGGCGCAGGCAGTGGCCGAGAATTACGAATAATGTGTCTTCTGTCGTTTCGGTGCAAGCGAAGTCATCAGACATGACCGGGAGCCGGGCTTTCCGGGAGCCGGGCTTTATGTCGGACTTCTTCCTTGCCTTCAACCGGGTCGTAAAAATGAGGCAGAATGCAACAATGGCTTATCGTCCACAAGGGAACGGCAAAGCCAAGCGGACGGTACAAACCCTGACACGAGCCTATGCAGAGCGGCTGACGTTTGCGCTGAATACGGCGCACGATCGAAAAAGGAGAGAAACGTCAATTTTCCTGGTCCATGGATGGGACCCGCGGTCGACACTTGAAGCGGTTGTTTCGGTGGAATCTACACGCTGCCGTGATGGCGATGGACGAAGGTGGAGGTACCACATACAGGGACAGTACCGCAGAGCCAGGGAAGCCGTCGACGAGAGTCTGCGCGATGTGATCAAGTCCAGGGCTGACCAACACAACGAAAACGTTAGACCACACCGCATTGAGGAAGGCACACAGGTATGGCTTTACCTGGATCACGTAAAAGGAAGGAGTTACGTCCGCAAGCTCGCACACATGTGACACGGACCGTTTCGCGTAATCGAGCTGATCGGCAATCACGCAGCCCGTCTCGAGAGCGCCGGCTCAGGGTATCGCATCTTCCCGATAGTACACCTGTCAAAGTTGAAGCCAGTGCAAACCTTCCTGGATCGGCCAAAGGTTGTCAAGAATACCGAAGACCATGACCGGGTAGATTTTGATGAATAATTGTTGCCAGACGATAGCTGGGAAACTCCACTGGGCGAAGACGAATTCGAAGTAGAACGGATCGCGGATATGCGATCAGGAAGACGTACCCGCTATGGGCGGGTGCACCGAAAATTCCAGGTCTATTGGTAAGGCTATGACCAGCCGACATGGGTGGACGAAGCCGACCTCAATTGCACCGCCTTGTTGTACGAGTGTGAGCGCGGGCGCACCAGCCGTAACCGCTTCAATGTGATGCAATCACATGAAGGAGGGATGAACGCTGAATAAGACATCGGCGGGTGGAGATAGGGTGTGGGGTAGCCACACACGGGGAGGATAGGTATTTGTACAACGCGTGAAGACACCTGGCCGCAACTGGGGAAAGAAAGAGGAACATCGGAAGTTAAAGGAGAAGCCCAAATGATGGGTGGCATCACGTAGCTCAGGCGGATGGATGAGAGGTCGACGATCGATGACCACGATTGCGATCGAAGCCGACGATCGAGATAGTCGATCGAAGCTGATGGTCAGAGTCGATGATCGAGATCAGTGATCGGGATCGACGATAGAAGTGAACGGATGAAGTTGACGATCGAACCGCCTGTCAGAGAGTAAGAGAACTGGGAACCAAGCCATGGGGGCGACGATCAGAAGCAGCGAGCTGACAACCGAGCGAAGGCATAGTTGCTGCAGAACGAGGTGCAAAAGAGGTGTCAGGGATGAGAATCCATGAATGGAATAAGTCTATATCGACGCGAACGAAAGGTGGTCAGGAGGTCACCGACACGAGAACACACAACTACAACGCAGGAAGGGTTAGCCTCGAAACAACCAAGGAACGAGCACAACGCAGCGTAATACGAACAAGGTCAAGACAGACGCAGCTAAGACACGCAAGACGCCGACTATGTTGATCGGCTTACCAGAAACGGAAGCTATTCCTGAGGGATGAACTTGTCCTCAAGACGGGGAAGCTGGGAACCGGGATGACCCTCGATAGCGTGGCGATAATGGTTGCGCCAGGGATCTTGGCTGTCAGCGTCACGAAGAGCTTCGAACAGGTTAGCAGACCGCGGGGTGCAGTGCCAGCCAGGGTACCATTTCGACCGCTCACCATGGCACCGAAAATGGATGAAGACAGGATCCAGTAGAATGTCGAGGTCGCGGTGTCCAGCCACGATGCTCAACAACACGATCTTGAGAAAGCTCTTCCAGGCAGCACCAAAACGTGACCGGCGCTGTCTACGCTCCACGTAGAGGATCGCGAAGTACTTGACGGCACGCCGCAGTTCTTCCGAGATGGGAAAGGAATGGGTGAATTCCCAAGCCGCTTGACGTTGCTTCGTCTGTAACCCTTCCAATTTCCGCGACAAGACTTGGAAGGGAGGGCTATTCTTCACAAAGAAGATGGGCGTCACTGGCTTCGCGAGAACTGCCCATGGCGTGGAAGCATAGACTGCCGAAATGTTACCCCCGTCCAAAAGCTCCGCGTCCCAAGTCGCTAGACACCGGCACTGGTTTCGGAAATAGCCAGTTAGGAGGCTTGGAGAAGCGGCCGAACAACATGGCAACGTCAAGTTCAAGGACGCTGATTTGGCAGACATCCAACAGCGGCCAGGGAGCTTCGTCAGCCACAGAAAAGATTACGCGAGCACGATATCCAGGGAGCCGGTGTGCACGGTCAACACAGGTTGCAGGCAATTGGGCGTAGTCGGCAGGCGTCAACAGCTCGTTGCGAGACACTAAGTTGGAGGCACTATGTCGTGTTGGGATCCACGATTGACTATTTCTCCGTTCCCTCACTCCATAAATTGTTGACTCCAAGAGCCAACGAGAACGGGATCGAATATAT